ACTGGAAGTGTTTTATTTGTAGAGAGACGATATTCAATTGATAAAAACAGGCATTGTATAAAAAGTATGTCAAAACGTTTTATTTCCGAACCATTCATTGGGAAAAATCACCGAGACAATATTTATTTTTAACTTGCGTGCTGATAAAAGTACGATTCATAAATTTCAAAGAAACTGGACCATAAATAGACAATGTTACAATACTGTTTTTATTTCGTGACACTTTGGTTCTCTGCTTCATGAAACAAATAAATTGCTGAATTTTTATTAAAAACATTTCACAGTTTTTATCAGATTCCGAGAACAACCTTCGCAATTCGATTTTCCGTAATATTTCGTTATAATCTTTTTATAAGAAAATCTTTAGCGAGTTACGCCCGTATTCACAAACATTATGAGATCTCACAGTGCGCGTGGCCGCACAGGGTCACAAACGAGCCAATCACGAAGCTCTATTCAACGCTGTGCGTTCGATTTGCTGCTTCACTTAAGCAAGCATCGATTGTGAATACGGGCGTTAAAGTACTTTCAATTAGTTATCTTCGCATCAAATCGATCTGTTAGCTTGAGAGAGATGTCAAGTTTGTGTAGAGATAAAATATAATTTCCTAAGCACTTTACGAGAAACTCTTAAGGGCTGGAGATGTCCCATTGAGGTTGAAGTGGCTATTGTACACCGCTCGTGGGCAACGTCACGTTGCAAGTTAGATTTGTCAAGAGATTCTGTAATGTTATGACGTAAGCCCTTAATGCGTGATCTTGGTTCCCTTTTTAGATGCAAGAGAATATTCAATGTTATCTGTTGGTAAGTAATGTTTTCATTCCTAAACCTTGAAAAGACTTCTATTGATTTATTTAATTAAATGAACCTAGAATAAGGATGTACACTACTTTTGGTTGCAGTAAATTTAGATGGTTTTCGTCAGAAAATACATTATAACTTGCATGCAAGCATACCCGGGGGGACAAGTGGGTTATGTGAGGCTCCCCCTGCCAGATGGGCAGGGCCTACTCACTAAAACCTGATGGTGTTATCCAAAGATGGTTTAATGTCCTCCATATTTACTCCACTAGACAGCGCCACATTCAGTTGTTCCTAAATATCCTTAATATCCTACATTTTCTTCATAATTCACATTAAGTTCTTCCCTTTAAATAATCTAACTTTAGATATTTAATAATCCTTAACAAACACACAGGATGTTGTACAGTCGCGGAATGAAAAGGTTCGTCAGTTTTCAAATTGATTCCTTCAACGAATCGCGAGCACATATTACCTTTTGAAACTATGTTACAGAATAATCTCGAGTTAGACAATATAATCTTTAACTGTTAGTCAGTAAAGTTCAAAATTATTCAGATTAAAGTTGTTTGACATTTATCTTGTCAAGAAGATTATTATGATTGAACTAAAACCTTCTTGTTGGTTCAACCTGCCATTATTATTTCTATTAAATAAAAAAAAATACATTTTGTAACATTGCACTGATGGGACAGAAAAATAAGCAAAACCTTCTTTGTTAGCAAACGTCACATTTATTTAAATGTTAGCAGCACTGTTTCTTGCACTGTTATGTTGGCAGGTTTGACTCTTACAGTACCTAGTGCAAGCGAAAACCGACACTAAGGTGACGAACCTTTTCATTCCGCGACTGTACATCACACTGACACCAGGAGTAGATGGGCCGAACATCCGTTACATAATATTTGAAAAAATAACAAAAACGTGCAGCGTAAGACGTCCACGCAAAAGATGGACCGATGACCTCATAAAGGATTGCGCTGGATTCAGGCCGCTACCAATCGCGCGATATAGAAAGCATTGAGGAAAGGTCTATGTTCAATGTTCAGCAGTGAACGTCCTGTGGTTAAAATGATGATGATGATGAAAAAAATCTTAAAGTCATGCTTAAAACCTTGTGATTTATAGAAAGTGCAGAATGCGTGCATCCCGCAATTAAGTGTTGATTATACAGCTTTGTCTCCGCATTAATTAGCCTCAACAAGCGCGGAATTAACGCGTAATCGTGGAATAACTGGCCGTTAGCTGGAATGAGTGTGTGGAATGAATGGCTTGTCCTGGAACATTACGTTTTGGAATTTTACTAACTTGAGGATCGCGATGAGACTTATTTACAGATGAACTCGTAACTAGATGTGATTTAGATAATAAATGACACTCTTAGGCTGCACCACCTTATATTAATCGTAACAATAAAAATAACCGGTGCTTTTTGTGTGGAGTTTGACAGTTTTTTGACTTTGTCAAAGTTAAATTAAGATGGTGAAACTAAAGTAAGCTAGGCTAAGTCTAGACAAGTAAATGCCAGAAATGCTATCTCATGCTTTGATTTATTTTTACAAAACAATCTTTTGAAGTCCGTGGCTTTTCGCATTTTAAAGAAACTGACTTTCTTCTTTGTAGTTATTGAAGTGTGGAAATGACCTTTAGTTACTTTGACGGGCGACAGCGTGGGTTTGAATCCCACCTAAAGCAGTTTTTCTAAGCAAAAAATATGATCTAGAGACAGAAAAATAAATTAACTGTAGAAATCGGACTGAAAAAAGTTATTTTGTTGTTAATGTGAGTTTTATTCCCGATATTAACGGTATTTATTTGGAAATCGAAAAATTTGCCTTATGTAGCAAAATCATTGTTGTTTTGAGGAAACACTGAATTTTCTGATAGATTCAGCTTATTCTGTAACCTATTATTGATAACGTTTGAAGGAACTCGTGAAGCACTTTCACCCGACTTTTGATGTCTTCTATAGTTTAGAAATAGTAGAGTGAGATTACTTATCATTTCCACCCTGTATAAGATACGCTGCAATGTTGTTGTTACTTAATGTAATTGAGCAAAAACCATTTTCGCGTCATGAATCCAGTCAATTTTGCGGCTGACTGTACACGTATGAACGATACCAATTTACGGTATCACGGCAAATGTGCCACAAAATTATGTGCCACAAATTATGTGCCATATTGATGCAGTGCGGTCATAATTACGACCTAGTAATAAGCTACTCGCAGTTACTTGCACGAGTCAAGGGCTTTCGTGCTATTTCACACCATGTCTGGTACCTACTTTTTTACCTATATTAGAAGAAATTTTAATTTTGTGAGCTTGTGTATTTTAATGGGACAAATTCCGGAACCACTCTTATTAGAGTAAATACTTACTACTACTTATTTAAAATAATTTTTTAGTCTGTTTAAAACAAAAATTGTTAAACCCATACAAAATCGGGACAGGCTGCTTGGCGTTGAATTAGTTACAGACAGGTACTAAGCACGGTAAATTTAAGACCTAAGTAAGACCTTGAAAAGAAAGTATATAAGTTTAATGTTTTACAGCGTCTAAAATTCTGCTTTCTTTGAACTGTATTTTTGAACTTACTCAGCCTAAATAAGTCAAATATCCATAAATAATATTTTATAACTTTCTATAGTTTTATTATAAGTAATACATACTCACTTTAATGGCCACTTAAATGTATTCAGCTACGAAACACACTGACAAAGAAAATATTTACAGAGGCATTTCTGGGCGTGCGTTGGAATAATTACGGTGTCTTCTATACACATTAATAAAACCTTGTAAATTATCATACTAAAGAATACCTAAAGAATGGTGTTTCTAGGGTTTTTCGCTATAAATTAACGGTCATGTTACGTGGTAAAGTTAATAATTTGTACAAAGTACAAAATTAAGTAACTTGCAATCTTTATAAAGAGTAAAAGGTTCTTCATAATTCAACTTTCAAGAAATCGTATTATTAAAAGAAGCTTCGGTTACATTTTTATAATATACTGCCGAAAAAATAATTTTCCGGGCCATGAATTCCTTTTTAATCTTTATTGTTGGCTCAAATACATTGTGCTCCCATTTGTAATCATGTTGCTGGAACAAGCCTACCCTTTGGCATTACATAATGTCACGTGATTGATGACTGACGAATAAAGTGCAAGGTCCCATACAAAACCCATAAGAATTCCTATCATTTACGCACGAACAGTGAGCTGAAAGTTTTTTGTACCAGGGCCGTATTCTGATGGTATAGGACTCGAGTATGTTTATGATACTCGAGTCCGAATCGAGTCTACAATTTCATGTAGGTATTACTTTTCGCCTTGAATATGCCTTTTAAGTCTGGTTAAGTTTATTTAGTTTAGTTGCATGTTTTATTACCACGGATGTTATAAAGGTAGACTACTATGTATCAATACTACCCTCTTTTCAAGTCCTCCACTATACCTACATTCGACACTGTTGAATAATTTACTTGATTAATGGACTATTCATGAACTAACTGCTTAATCGAACTTGAATAAGTTATAAGGTAGAAATCAATGTTACTATTAAGAATTCAAATTAGAAGTATGAAAGTTTTTGCAGAAATAAATCACAGATTAAATAAAGTTCTAATTTCACCATCAGATATTATGTAATGATGAAATTGTAATAAAATTATTTTAAGTACTAGCCTAGAAACTTGAAATTATTTAGGCAAGGGCCCACACTAAACCTGGATTCCCCTGGCAGTTACGGACCTGTGCCCCACCTGAATGAAATGTTTCGGAGCAATGTCAAAAACGCGCGGCAAAAATATGCATGTAATGGGCATATTTCCATGAGCGGTCATTTAAATTTTTCCCGCGAAAGTTGCCAACTTTCCTCCGACATGGGCAATGGCGTCGTATTTTAATAAATGATGGGATATTATGAATAAATTGCGTGGCGAGTTCGTCCATGATTTACCTCGGAATGTGATGAAGTTGCGGGATACCTACTATTTTGTTAATTATGCGACTTTTATTGCCTTTTCACAAAGTAAAATTTTCTTATTTAGTGTTTTTTTCGCGGTGAGCAAATACCTTCTAGTTTTTATAACGTAAAATTTTATTATCAAGTTATTTATTTCTAATTTATTTTGAGAAACGACTCTTATCGCTAAGAAATTTTAATATCTAAAAATCATTTCGTGAAAAGTACATACCTTCATAGTTTTGCAGGCCATTTGCCTAAATCTGAAACAAAATTAAGTTACAATTAGTATGACTTAGTACCCAGATCAAACGAATATCAAAACGTACAGCACAACAACAAAATATTTTGTTTCCATATCGAATTTCTTGCATTTTATTTACTTGTCAAACTAATCTCTACATCATAATAACAAGACGTTCGCTTGTTGAACAAGTGGAGAAAACACAAGTTTATTCTGCTCAAAAGCGGGAAGAAAAATTGAGTGTAAACACCTGTGCTCATGTGCAAGTGCTCTACTACGTAAGTATAAGGAAGTCGGGATAAAATAAAAGAACATCGTAAAATAATGTAGGTGCAAGTCAATTTTTGGCATAAAGCAAGATTTAAGCTAGATGAAAAGTCTGGTTTAGGAATTTCGTTGAAGATAATTATCATTAATTGTGGGCAGTAGATTTGTTGTTTCGATGGGGCACTAGTTCAACCACTGATGACCGCTGATCTATTTCTAGTGAACTCGTAATACCTACTGACAATATAATTATTATACTGAGTTGAAGTACTTACTTGAGGGGTTAACTAATTTATACAAAATTAAATAATGTACTACACAAAGCGTGAGTACAGTCAACAAATATTTTTTAACAAAATAGAGCCTATTTCATTTAAAACTGTGTCTTTATATTGTCTTGATATGGGTTTTCGTTTTAATTTGAATTGTTACCGAATTTCTGTCTTATTTTCAAATCGAAACTTTATTATTTCTTTAAAATTGTTCACTGAGCCTTCGTATGTCATTACATGTACAGTCTCCTTTCTCGCACGAATCATAGAAACGGTAATTCCCAGAGCGAAGAAAATTGAAAAACGCTGATAAAAAAAACGTCCATTCCTAAAATGTAGGGTAGGTTATTAAATTCAGGGGCAGAGTGGAGGCAATATCGGAAACTCATTAATAATGTTACAGCCCGCGTCTAATTTCATCGTGACTCGGGCATATTTTCTAAATGGATCAATTTTGCGGATATTATCTGTGAACGAAATAATTTCAGGTCTCTTTGTATGGTAATCTTTGCTTTCTTTTAGATATTATCCTCTTCAATGAGTTGTTTATGATGGTAATACTTTATTTTAGTGGTGATACCTTCTTGGGTAATATCCCTGCTTGACCACAGGTTGACTGGTAGAGAAAGAAAACTGGAAACTTTACTTTACCAAACTCTACCTTAATTAATTATTTAATTCATCATCATCATCTCAGCCACAGGACGTCCACTGCTGAACATAGGCCTCTCCCAATTATTTAATTAGTGCACTTTAACTCAATGCACAAGATAAATAAATATTATTATATATTTATTACACACCACACAAAACTGACGAATAAGGGCCGATTTTTCAATCGTCGGATAACTTTTAACTGAAGAATAAGTTTGGCACAATGACAGTTTCAGTACGGAAAATATGTCAAAATGACAATTTTATTCTTCAGTTAAAAGTTATCTGACGATTGAAAAATCGGCCCTAAAAGAAATAGAAGACACAGGGTGTTTTTTATGAAACCAATGTCAAAAATACGCAATTTTAAATTGTGCATTAAAGCACTAATTTTATTATTATATTTTTTAAATACAAAAACTTCCACCCTGTATAAGAGCACGACTGTAAGTGACGTCATCAAACCACGGATCACCGCACAGCGCGGTCAGTCAACAGCGACTGTGAAAGACTTGTCCTAATTTTCACACATAATACAGGGTGATTGATCAAACGAGCCTTTTCAGGAAGATTCGATGTAGGTGTAATTGTTTTTGATAGCTTTTTGAATAACAGAGTTTGGTTAATTGCTCTTCTGTTCTCTTTTGAATACCTCTCTTTTGTACTTCGAAAAAGTATGCTTCGACCATTTTTATAACACAAATTAATGCAAAAATGAAACAAATAACGTAGTTTCAGGTCTTTCTGACACTGCAACTAACATAGCTTGAGTTAGAATAATTATCTATTAGAATCTTTGATAATTCAGTGTACACTCGTTATAGCGTCATTCGATTTAACGACAAACACCTTAAAACCTCGAATCTGCCTGACTTCATTAGGTTTGCCTTGCTTTTTATTCGCTTTACCGTATCTCTCCAATTAACGTCCATTCTCTATAACATCGGAAAATGCTCAGTCCCTAGAGTGTCGTTATAAGAGTTGACTGAGTTGATTTAAATCTTCGAATAAAGTTGTTTGAAGTAGCCTGGCAAGTTGCAATATTTGTTGGCGAGCCGAAAATCCATTAGTACCTACAGCAATAGGGATGATGACTGGGTAATGAAATCGAAATTCTCTTTAGTCCGTCAAACAGATAATTAGAAAATATTAGAATCGTATTTTTTTATTTTTTCCATAATTGAATAATTACAGTATTACTTATATATTGAGTTGAAATGTCGCATGACGTCACTTTGAGTAAAAACTCTACTCAAGCGTGACGTATCGCGCCATTTCAACTCGATGTAGCACTGTTATTATTTAATCATGAAAGAAAATAAAAAATGGAGTCTAATGTTTTCTATTATCTGTCTGAATGACGGACAAATAATTGAAATTTTGTCATCTAGCCTTTTCGTTCGTTCGTTTCAGCCGAAAGACATCTACTGCTGGACAAAGGCCTCCCCCAAGGATTGCCACAAAGACCTACAGCAATTATTAATAATCAAAAACAAGCATTTTAAATCCCATCACCATCCCAGTAATACTTGCACCAGAACAGGTGTTTTCGATGACAGTCATCAGTGCGCCGGGCATTCTAATCGCCTGATTATCGACTACTGTTTTTTATGACCGACGCGATGCCTGACTCAGGGAGACGAAAAAATTGTGAATTCAGGGGATATTATTAAAATGGGATCGTTATACGAGTAATGCCCTTTTTAGGTGTTAGCGTTTGCTTAATGGGATATTCTGTAATGTTACGCTATTCACATTGAATTTTGATAAAGGTTGCTTGGCTTGTTTTTAAATAACTGATGGAAATAGGACGCAGAAAGTTTTGTTATTCATGAATCGACTTAAATTACTTCATCATCATCATCATCATTTAGCCAAAGGACATCCACTGCTGAACATGGGCCTCCCCAATGATTTCCATAATAATCGGTTGGTAGCGGCCTGCATCCAGCGCCTTCCTGCTACCTTTGTGAGGTCATCGGTCCAACTTGTTTGTGGACGTCCTACGCTGCGCTTTCCGGTACGTAGCTAAGGTTTTAACCTTACTGCCCTATGGGCCGTTAGTTCTGCGTATCTGGCCATTGCCACTTCAGCTTGCTACTACATCGGGCTATGTCAGCGCCGTGAGTTCGTTAACGGTTACTTAGGTACGAAGTTCAATGAAAGTAATTAACGAAGTCACAGCAGAAATGTTCATTTTACGTACGATTCTCTTATTAAAGAGATAATATTGGTCCAACTATCAAAAACAGCTATCATTTCTAAGTATGCACTTAGCTTTAGATATTTCAACCTATATAACACTAAAAACAGTAACATTGTCAAAAGTCGGTCTAACCAAAGCGGACTGAACTTAAGACTTAGTTACTAAAGTAGCTATTTTTCCGCAGTTTCACAAGTAGTAAAACGAAAGTTTGTTAGAAGCGTTGAAGTAGAGCATAATGCAACGCATTCTTCTTATAAGTTTTAGTTCGTATTAATGTTATAAGACTGTTGGAGTATATTGTGTGGAAACCTGCTGTAAGGTATTTGCAATGACGTTTATTAGGTATTTAAACACTGTTGAAAGCATAAACACAAATTAAACTTGAAACTTGGATCCACGTTTGAAACTATTTACACGCTAGACAGAGAAACCAATGTCTCTATAGTTCCTTGAACAAATCGTAGGATTAGAGGTCTAAGGTAAATCCCTCCTGAAACGATCAATATCAATAAAACTTTAAAATCTTAGACATCGAGAAAGGACTATACATACCTACGAGTACTTATCGGTGACGCAACGTTAAAACAATTTCATTTCCTTGAAATCTGATTCAACTCAGATCTTTCACTTTTGAAATACAAATCCAATTTATTTTAAAACGTCACAGAGGCAAAGGAAATCACTTCTGATCTCGTGAGCACCGTGGACCGTGAACTCACGGGTGAGATGCTCGCCTATCTTTCTTGAGCTGGGTCTCGGCTATCGTATTGAAATTTGGCCTTTCACAAGCGATAGCGGGAGAAAATTTAAATCGAATTATTGTATTTCACAAGCGGCAGCGGGCGAAAATTCACGCTTGTTTTAGGTTTTATTTCAAATGTTACATAAAATTACGTGCAATAAGTGAAAAAGTTTTTGAACAGATAGTTTATCAAAATATTTTTTCAAGGAAAATTCCATCTAACCGTCTGTCCAACGTGGGGGATATAGGTTTTTCTTTCCTTAATTTTGTTCCTTAATTTGCCTCTAGTAAATTAGAAAGTCACGTTCCTGGAGTGGAGACTAAATTACGTGATCTAGGGAAGTCTACTCTAAAACCGTTGTTGTCCCGGAACCCTTTACCCACCCCTACCTGTCTTCGTCGAATGTCGACACACACCTTTAGCCACACCACCAACATCAGATGATATTTTAGATAGATTAGATTCTAATCTATCTAAATACTAGCTGACCCGGCGAACTTTGTTCCGCCTTAATGGCAATAAATAAGCAGACTTTTTTTTTATTTCGAACGGGATAGAAAGTATCCTATGTCCTTCTCCTGGCTCTAAACTACCTCCCTGACAATTTTCAACTAAATCGGTTCAGCCGTTCTTGAGTTATAAGCGAAGTAACTAACACGACTTTCTTTTATATATATAGATATAAAAGGAGAAACTGACTGACTCACTGACATATCAACGCACAGCCTAAACGGCTAAACGTAGGCACTTGAAATTTGGAAGGGACGTAGCTTAGGTACCGTAGAGGTGCAATAAGAAAGGAATTCCCGAAATTCCCACGGGAACGGGAATTAGCGCTTAAGTTAGACGCTTGAAATTTGGCATGAAGGTACCTTAG